AATGGATCAATGGGCAGGGGAAAGCTTGTGTCTCAGATAATCAAGGATCAGTCTAACAGGTACATTTGGGGTATTGAGAAATCTTTTATGAGGGATTGGAACACTAAGATCAATCTTAATTTCACCGAATTCTTAAGATGCAATTGCCAAGTATTTTAATGAAAACCTTTCATCTTTTTTAACAAACGCCTCCCTCCAGAGGGAGTCACAGTACCTTTTTCTGATCTGAAAGCTGCCAAATGCATAGCTAGATAGCCTTAAAAAGCAATTGCTTCTTTAGCTGTAGTGTTGTTCCTGAAAAAATAACCACCTTCAAAAGTTTCCAAAAAGAGGAAGACAGTCTGAATTTGAAATATAAAAAAAAATTAATGAAATAGATTTCATAAAAAAACAATTTTGCAATTCCCATGGGGGTACACAGACCTCATGAAATGTCTTCTGTCTTGAAGGTACATTTCTCAGCCAAATAGCAAGTGTTGGAAGGAATACTACAGTAATATAACCAAAATAAAATAATATAATTTTCAGATTATCCTCAGGATGGGACCAATTTTACAGAGACAATAAAAGTCAATAGTTATCATGGGAACTGCTGAGCACCAAATCAGAAATGTGACGATGAGGCTGACTCAGACTTGAAGAGGCTGACATCTCCTCTTCAAAGGGGATGTGTGATTTCTACATTCAAGTCTGAATCAACCAATGTTTGGATTAGTGAGTTTAAATAAGGTGCTGACATGCAATTCCTTAAGGTTATTCATCCACCGCTCCTGTCTCAGTGAGAGAGGGAGAGAGAGTGAGATTGAGATCGAGGTTTTTAGGGACATCAATCTCACCCACTGGCTCATTGGATTATATGGGTCATTTCCTGCAGTAGAAGCTACACAGAAAAATGGTCACTGAGACAATTCAGACTAAGTCGACATCTTGGGCAAGTCTTTGAAGAACATCTGAATCACTCAAGTGTGGTAAGCAGAGGGGTCCTTCCCAGACTTAACATGACACTATGTGCCAATACCTGGGAGGTCAGTGAGTAAAGTGACACTTAGCAAGATGCTACAATTTGTGGGTCTTGGAAGAGTTTCATGCCAACAATGACAACAGGATTTTACTGTCTATGCTTGTTTAATGGGAGACAGAGTCTTTCATTGAACAGATAAAGTAAGGATTAAAAAGCATTTCCATTAGGAGAGGAAATCCAGAAAGAGTCCCTTCTAGAGTTCAAAATTGTTTATTAGACAGGAGAATGTATCTTTTACAAGGAATATAGGGTAGAGATTTGCAGGCACAGCAAGGAAGAAGAGAAGATTAGGCATAGAGACTGTGAGGATAAACAAGCATCAAAAGGAGCAAGTGGAAACATTCAGGTCAAACTTCACCTATTGTTCAATTTTTCATTTTTTGAACTCTGTCTATATATGACAGCCTCAGAAAAAGCATGTGGTGCTTTGTAGAAAATGGAACATGAGCAGAGGGTCAGAGATTAATATATGCACTGTTTAGGTTTTTATTAAATAGGGAAATACTGAGTGAATATATGAGGTCATATTTGGAAGAATAAAAAATACCAAATAGAAAGCACATTATAAATATTAAGTGCAATATAAAAGCTTTTATGGGTTCATAGTTGTAATCAATTAGAGTTATATAGTTGTGATCATTCTAATGCATAAGTACTAAGTCATTATACAACAACGGAATAATGACTACACTTGATGCTGGCAGTGAGCGGCTGTCACTAGGTGGCAGGTCCTGCTCCGTCAAGTTAAGCACAGCCTAAAGATGGCAGAGAATCTTGCCACAAACAAGAGAGAAAAACATTGGCTGACCATTCACTAGAGAGAATTCTTACATTCAACTTTACTATGTCTTAATATTTCTTGTCTGTGGCTACTTTGTACAGCCTCAGGTCTAGTTATGAAAACTGGGGATATGCCAATCATACACTAGTCAAGTGTCCTATAGGATTTTGAATGAGTTTGGAGTTAGTTCGTGAGATGGCAAACTAGCCAGGACTAATGCACAGGCAGCACTGAGTCCCCTAGTTATGGAGGGACCCTGTGCTTATACAAAGCTACTGCCTGGGTAACAATTGCTGAACTTTAGAATGTCCACTTTTCTCTGTTATAGGGGGTTTCTAACCCTTCACAGAAAAGGGGAAAGACAAAATCCTGTATCTCTTAAGTTCAGCCAAGCTAAAGTTGCATTTTCCCCAATAAGTTTTTCTGCAGAAAATCAAAATGGGGAGGGGAAGTGAGTGACAGAAGGCAAGAACACAAACACAAACATACACACGCACCAAAAAATATTTTAAAAATATGTATTTGGGTCCCTGCTTGCCTGGGTCTAAACTTATAGCTTCGAGGGCAATTGTTTATCTCAAACTAACAAACAGTTCTATCTATCTATCTATCTATCTATCTATCTATCTATCTATCTATCTATACACACATACATATGTACACACATACATACCACACATATACATATATACACACATTCATTTGTATATATACACATATGTGTGTGTGTGTATTTGTGCACTGTTACACCAAAGAAAGATCCAGGAAAGAACTCAGGTGAGATGGAAGTTTTAATAAAAAAAAAAGGAAAATGTGAGAAGCTAACACAAGTTCCTCTTCCTCTCTTTCCCCTGACCTCTCCCTTTCCTTTAGATCCATCTTAATGTTGATGAAAAAGGTCATGGGGATGTGAAGGCTAGGCAAGAGGCTCAGTAGAATCCAATATAAGCATATATTAAGTGATACTTGAAAGACACGGTTATGAAGTGCTCCAACAATGCCAACTTCTTGACCGAGCAGAGGCTACATCATTATCCCACCCCTTACCTTTATCTGTAAGTACTTATTACAAAGATGAAATCAGTGTCTCCTAATGAGGAAATGACAAAAGCATTTCTAAAAATATCTAGGTTTGGTTTACTGCCAAGTAGTGTTAAAGTTATAGTGTTAGGGGGAAAAGGATGTCCCAAAGCAAATTCCATAATCGGGGTTGCTCTATAACAATAGTAGAGTCCTGTCCTGGTGTTTCTGGAAAGTTCTTGTTTGGAAAAATATGAAATGTCTTGTCAATTTAGTTTACTTTAAAAAAAAGTATAGTATATATACTGTAGCAGCTACAAAACAGAATATACATGACTTCCTCAATATTCATAAACAATATTCATAGTGGCTAACATGAACTCAATACCAATAAGAGAATCATTCTGTAAATGTGTCAGATAACTCCAATATCTCCAGAGATCTGTGTCTAAGTGGCATAAAATAACCTATCTGACGAGAAAAGTGGAAGAAAGGTTAGTAGTGTACAAAAGTGACATTAAAAATCCTTCAAAAGAAAAGATACGACAGTTGAGACACTGGTGTTTCAGTATAAATTAAAAAGGTGTTAAAAACAAAACTGGTCCCAAATGGAGTCACATATATTAAGTAAACAAAGAGGATTATGTCTGGCTCTCCCAGAAAGGGAATCTTAACCCAGTAAATCAGAAATTGCCTGATTTGCTCTGGTTAGGTAACTAGACTGACATTTTCTAAAAGAAAAGTAACTTTGCAACAACCAGTTCTCAATTTTGTCTAGTATAACTTCCTTGTTACCACTCCTTTCTGCCAATAAAATATTTTGCCTTGTATAGCACCATGGAACTACCTTCTGTCATCTAGAATGGATATTGCTTACTTCATGAATCATTAAATAAAGCCAATAAGATCTTTAAAATTTACATAGTTGAATTTTGTTTTTTAATAGAAATCAAAATTAATGTAGAACACATTTACTTTCCTTAGGTGACTTTTCACATACTTTGAACATCTCAATAATTTGTACAGAAATTAATTATTTAAGATATAGTACTTATGACTATTCTTTTCAAAAATTATGACTATACAGTTTGTAATCTGAGAGGGCCAAAGTGATGTTGCAAAACTGAAGCAAACCCATTTCTCCTTTGAGATGACCTCTTACTCTTCATTTCATTAAAATTAAAAATTTTAAAGCTATTTTAGCCTGAAGAATTAGGCATGGCATTAACTTGACCAACTTTAGCAAATAAAAATAGAGAACGCATGATTAAATTTGAATTGTGGATAAACAACATTAGTGTATGAATATCCAAATATTGCACACTTATTACATACTTATGCTAAAATTATTTGTTATTTATCTAGAATCCAGATTTAACTGAGCATCCTATATTTTATCTGGCAACCTGAGTAGCCATAAACAAAGCACATCTGTACCAAATGGCCCACAGTCATAGCACATGAGCATTAAAGAATATAGGAACTCAAAAAATAGTCACCTGGGCTATCAAAGACAAAGAACAGGGAAAAAAAATAAACATTTGGTCATTCCAATTATCATGATGTGGGGCTTTACAATCCATATGAATTTCCAGAAGACTAAGGAAATCAACTACTTTCCTTTGTCGGCTGTCAATATTTCCACTTTTAACCAAATGGGATCATCCCTATAAACTCAGTTAATTCCATTTAGTAACAAAATAAAAGACTTTTCTTCCAAACCTTACACTCTAATATGTTCTTCCTTGTGAGAGAAACCTGACAGTATATTTCAGCTTCTGTCCTGGAAAAGCTGTTAGCAGAGAGCTAATAATATTATTTCTATTTCCTTTACTAATGCTAATCTGAGTTAAGACAAATGGGGTGGAGACAATGTTTATAATAGACTATCAGATTTAGAGCAAGAGCATTGCTGTACATATGTTCACAAGGGGTAAACAACATTTCCTTTCTGGTAGTTCTGGAAACCTTACATCCAGGACTTATTTCATGAGAGCAAAATGACTGTCCTAGTTTCCCAAGGAAGGATATTTAAAAGATATTAAAGTTTTCTCCAGGTAAAAAGGGGTGTGGGTGTGTTATGCCAAACCTTATCCACTTGTCCTGGTTTTACTGCTTTTGTGAATGTGGAGCTGTCATTGTGAAAGTGTGGAAGTTTTAGAATTTACTTGGAAATACCTTTGAGACCATGCTCTAGCCTTAGCCATGAGGTGCAGGTGTAAATTCTTGGCAGCTTTAGAATTTCTGTCCATTTCTTCATGGCTGGTTTCCCAGTCTGTTGAACCAAGCATATGCCCACACATTAGATAAAAACTCATCTTGAGCAGTTCAGAAGCTGTACTCTGCCTTCTGTTTCCAATTGGAAATGAAAAACAAAGGAGGTCAGGAACTCTGTCTTGTGAGTAACAATAAACAGGTTATATTAGCTATTCACTTCTTCTCCCCACTATGAAGGAGATGGCTCACACACTAAAGGACATTCTGTCCACAAAAATAAATATGTATATTTAACACTTGGGAAAGCATATTCCTTTGGCAATGCCAGTGACCACTTTATCTTTGAGACTAGCATCCTCAGGCTCACTTATTGACTCACTAAATGAATACTTTCTTAGTGAATTTCCAGAAGACTAAGGAAATCAACTCTCAGCTGCCCATATTTCCACTTTTGACCAAATAGGATCACCCCTATAAACTCAGTTAATTCCATTTAGTAACAAATATCAAGCAACAGGGTTAAGTTTTGATAATACAGTAATGGAACAAAGGTACAAAGTCCCTATTATTCCCTCACAGTCTAAAGGGAAAAGATGTGAAAAGGTGATGGCTGACATTGTGATGAGTGTTGCAATAGGAAACCACAGAGTAGGATCCTGTGGGGAAACCTAAGAAGGGAGTCTAGACTGGAAGCACTTTAGAAAGATGCCTGGAAGATGCTCATCTAGGGAGAGAATCTACCCAATAAAGTGTGTGTGCGCGCACACGCACATGTGCTAAAAGACAGGAGTAAAGGTAGTGTTCCAGGAATAGAACTATACAAAGACTCATAAGAAAAAAAAATGATTTCAGTATGGATAGAGAGTAAACTGCGGTTGAGAGTTTTTAGAAGTGATGTTGGAGAGGAAAATGGGAACCAGATACCACAATCCTTTCCAATAATATTAAGTTTAAACTTTCTCCTGAGGGCAATACTGAGCTTATGAAGGTTTTTAACCAGGGTAATTTCCTAATGAGATTTGTATTTTATAAAAATCTCTCTATTTGCCAAATGGGAAATAGATTAAAGAGCGAAACCATTTAGGAGACTCTTATGGTAGAGGAATGATGATCCAAAGGGCATAGACTGAATTTTAAAAGAAAAAAAAATTTTGAAATAGAAAAAAATTTTACTAGATCAATAAAAGGGAGGAAAAAAAATGAAAATAAGCAAAGAACTTAGCACCCAGATCTTGGTTTCACATGCCATTCTGGGGTGGGAGGAAAAAAGAACCAGGACACCTTTCATCAATGGCTGATTCTAAGATTAAGGCAAGGAATGAACAAAATTAACCTGAAACATCTTGTTGTATAAGAAAGTAAGGGAGAGCAAGCAAACCAATCCCCCCCACAATAATGGGAGTTTATCAAAGGGATATAGGCGTTAAAAAAGTGTTTAAAGCTTAAATCTAGAACAACAAAATGGAGTACAAATGAGTTATAATCAAAAATATTAAAAAAGTAAATCCATGAGGTAATACTGATATAATTATTGAATAAACAAGGAAAATAGACAAATCTCCCAAACAGAATTCCAAATAATATATATAGATGGTTCACGCTGAAGAAGGTAGAAAATCAATCCTCACTCTTTAAGTGTGGGCTGTGTACAGTGATTATCTTCCAAAGAGTATAGTGTGATCATAATGTTATGGATCAAGTGTCAAGGTTAATTATTACCAATACTTATCCATCATAATTGCAGTATGTATGCTTGATATATGTTGAGGATAACAGTCTACCATGGTGTCACCTAACTTTACTAAGTAAACAGTATTTGAAGGGACACAAGGCTTGAGGGAGAGTCATGAGATAATGAATATTGTGTTTAAGAGACTTTAAGAGATTAGAGAAATGAATGTATACAGTCAGAAAGAAAAAACAGGAAATTTAGTTCTATTATAGTAAGGGTCTTAATTTAAATTAAAAAAATCAATAAAAGATGAACTTCATATCCAGTCATATTCTTGCTGGGGTAAAGAATTTTCTTTAGCCCAATGTATGGTTATAGAGAACCTTAAGATAAAAGTACCAAAGGAAATACCTGATTGAGATACAAGTGGTATGTTCCAAGCTTGGCAAGTAAGATTTCTAGCACTGAGTAACAATTCACACCAGGGAAATGTAGTAAATACAATGAGTGACAACTCAAGAGAGGTGCCATTTTCATAAGAAAAAAATGCATTCAAATTACCTGTGAACACCCTTAAATCATCATAAAGTATATAATGTTGCATGTATACAGTTAACTGGAGGAATACATATATAGGATGTAACAGTAATATAACAGGGTAATGTTTAAGAAATAACACACTTCTTTTACCAACAGAATCACAAATTTCTTACTGAGAGTTATTCATACCATGATAAATAATCATCCCCTCTGTACTAAATTCACACAAAGAGATAAATGTCTCCATTAAAAAAGAATAATACTTATGTCCTTACTGGTTTAGTTAGATCTTGAATTTTATCAGTTCTGAAAAGTCTGCTTTTAATTAAAGTTGTTTATACATTTATATTTAGTATAATATTGAAATGGTTAGATTTAGGACTTCATTTTTACTACAGGCTTCCTGTTCTTCACATTCATTGTTTTACTGTCCTTGCTTTCATATTTTTCATTATTTAACTTAGACTTTTAGTATACCATTCAATTTATCTATTATCTTTTTAGCTGTACTTCTCTGTATTTTTGGTGGTTTCTCTCAGGATTTTTTTTTTAAGGTTTATTTATTTATACAAGATCCGGGATACAGGCCAGATGCATGGGAGGATGAGGGGATTCACCAGAGACAGAGCGGGGAACAGAACAGGCAGACTGATGAAATCCACTGCTGAAGGGAGCAGCGGGCATGACAGGAGAGGTCTGCCGTGCCATGTTGGACCCTCGCTGGCCTGCTGGGATCAAACCTGCGCTGCAGAGGCTGCAAACAGCTTCACAGTGCTGTGCTCAAATGCCTGCGCCACCAGGGGAGGCCCTCTCTCAGGAATTTTGACCATACATATACTTTAACTTTTTGTTCAATTTAGAATTAATATTCTATCACTTCCCATAAAGTGTTAAGAATCTTACAATTCTAGTATTTATGCTATAATTCTGACTTTTATTTAATATACATATGTTTTAAAGCCAAAGAAGGGTATTATGTAATGATAACATAGTAAATTCATCAAAATTTATGTAACAATCATCAACATATTTTATATACATGGTTAAATTATATATATATATGCTTATATATATGTTTATATATATAAAAGAACTGCCAAATTATATAAAGGAAAAACTGACAGATTTGAAGACAGAGTCAATTCAAGTTTAATAATTGGAGACTTCAGTATTCTACTTTTGAACAACTGGGCAAAAGATCAACAAAGAAACTGAAGACTTAACAACACAATAAACAACATCAAACTAACAGACATATACAGAATACTCATCAACTGCAGAATATCCTTCTCAAGTGCGTATAGTCCATTCTCTCGGATAGACAATATATGAAATCATAAATATGACTCAATAAACTTAAAAGGTTTGCTATCATGCTAAGCATATTCTCTAGCTTTAACAGAATAAATTTAGAAATGAATAATAAAAAGAAATATGAGAAACCCCCCCAAAATATAGAGATTAAATTATACATTCCTAAACAAACAATGGGTCTAAGGAGAAGTCAAAAGGGAGAAAAATACACTGATATAATAAAAATGCAAATATAATTATCAAAACTTTGGATGAAGCTAAAACAACACTTAAGTAGCAATTTAGAATTATGAACGCGTACATGAAAAAAAAATAAGGCCACCTGAACTTCTATATGAAGAACTATCAATAGAAAAAAGAGCAACATAAATCCAAAGAAGGTAAAGAGAAGTAGATAATAAACATTAGAGGAGAAATAAATAAAAAAGAATATAGCAAACCAAATTCTGGTTCTTTGCTTATCAATAGAATTGACAAACCTGTAGCTATTATAGGTTGACCAAGGGAAAAATTTCCATGTGTCTGGGATATTTTGGTTATTATTAGGTAAGTGGAATATGAAATGGTTTCTAACTTAATTCCTTGGATCTGTAGATATTTGTTTGGAAGTTTATCTTATCACATGCATTTAAAAAAAATTCTAAATGAAAAAAAGAAAGAGAGAACTCACAATTTACTAAAATCAGGAATGAAAATGAGGTCACCATTGAAAGCAATTCCATTAAGATCTGGAACAAGACAAGGATGTCCACTCTCACCACTGCTTTTCAATATAATACTGGAAGTCCTAGCCAGAGCAATAAGACAAGAGAAAGACATCCAAGGAATCCAAATTGGAAAAGAAGAAGTCAAACTATCACTATTTGCAGATGATATGATAATATACATAGAGAACCCCAAAATCTCCACAGAAAAACTAATTCAACTCATCAATCAATTCAGTAAAGTGGCAGGATACAAAATCAACACGCAAAAGTCAGTAGCCTTCCTATACACAAACAATAAATCTGAAGAAGAAGAAATCAAAAAAAACACCCCTTTTATTATCGAAACAAAAAAAATCAAATATTTGGGAATAAATCTAACAAAAGAGGTAAAGGACCTATACAAAGAAAACTATAAAACACTGTTAAAAGAAATAGAAGAAGACACAAAGAAATGGAAAGACATCCCCTGCTCATGGATTGGAAGAATAAACATTATTAAAATGGCCATCCTACCAAAAGCAATATACAGATTCAATGCTATTCCAATCAAAATCTCAATGGCATTCTTCAAAGAAATAGAACAACTATTGATGAAATTCATATGGAATCACCAAAAACCCCGAATAGCCAAAGCTCTACTGAAAAAAAAAGAAGGAAATGGAGGCATCACACTCCCAGACTTCAAACTATACTACAAAGCCATAATCATCAAAACTGCATGGTATTGGAACAAGAACAGACATACAGACCAATGGAATCGAATAGAAAATCCAGAAATAAACCCACAGATTTATGGTCAACTAATCTTTGACAAAGGAGCAAAGA